TCTTTGTGTGGGTCTTAAGGGAAAAAGCACTACAGCAACAAGTACATGCAGATCAGTATTATTCTCTTGTTCATCTGTTTCCAAGTAAGCAGCTGCGTTGTCAGGTGGAATGATGCAGAAAGGAGTTTTCATACTTGTGTACAGCAAGGACTATTCTTTCATGTGGAAGCTGTGATTACAGTGAGCTAGACTGAGCCTTAGTTTTGCAGTGGTTTGTTATTTTTTAAGTTACATACCTGTGGAGCACTACTCAATCCAAGCAGATAAGTAGAAGCAGATAAGGCTACACTTTAGTATTTGTTCTGCGTCTGAAAACATCCATAGGTTTATTCTGCTGCCCTTTTCCTGAATAAGAGGGAGGAGGAGGGAAGAAATTTAATCTCGCTGCTTCTACATTATATGCCACCATGAGTTTCTAGAATGCGAGTTTGTGGGCAGGTTTTAGTAAGGGTATGAAGTAATGGTACATAACCATTCTTTAGTGGTCACTAGGAGGTAGGAGAATTGCAGTGTATTTGCATACTTATATTTTAAATGAGGTAGCTTGGCCAACTTTACATGCTGCAATTTTTATCTTCTTTATTTTTTTTTCTTTTCCAAAAATACTTCTCCAAAAGTAGCTCAATAGGTTTTTTTGGTGGTTGTTTATTTAAAATCAGAGACCTCTTTAATGTTGTCGGTTTGTTAAAGGCAGTGTCCAGATACTCAGTGACATTCAAAGCATCTTCTAATAAGGTTGTCAAGCAGAATTAAGTGACTGGTATGCTATGCTTGCTTTAATAATGTCTGGTCCAGGGATTATCAGTGAGGTCATTCTAAAGTAGGTGTTTGTGGAAAAGATTACTGCTCGGTCTGGAGGTAACGGTACACTGTAAGCAATTGGTCTTCTATTGAAATACAACTGGGATGAATACACCTGAAATAGTTGTTTTTACTCCTACTTTGCAGGGAATCCAAATAGCCCGGACTCATGAATTAAAGCCCTATATTATATTCATCAAGCCATCCAGCATAAGCTGCATGAGGCAAACACGTAAAAATGCCAGAATCATTACAGATTATTATGTGAACATGAAATTCAAGGTGAGATGTGGGAATGGAAGAGACACGACTTGCTACACTGGGGTTGTGTGTTTAGAACATAATGCCTTCTACTGTGCTATTTGGTTACATCTTTACAACTTTGTGTCCTGAGGTTCAGATCTAAATTCTTTTTTTTTCTCATTTTATTTTTGTATTTTCCCCCTCTAAATTTGCTTTGAAGTAGGAGGGTTGTGATTTGTACATAAGGAATTGAAGCATTTGGTCCAATGTCTTCATGCAAAGAGACTATTTGGGATACTTCAGTTTTAACTAACTGCCTTGTGACAAGATTTGAGCCAACACACACATTTACTGTTTGTACTGAAATGTATGGATCAAATGTGCTTCATTCAGTCATGTAACAAAATATTTTTCATGCAGTTTTAAGTGTGTAATGTACTGCATTGTGTATAAATGCTGTATAATGTATTACTGACAGTACTGATATCTGTTCCATAGTGACTTTTATAGATAGAACACAAATCCTGCTTGTGGGAAACACATAGCTTGCATTTGCAATGTGTGTAGTGTATTTATCACCACTGGTTTCCATGCAAATCATAATCAAGCTTAACATCTTAAAGTTTTAGAGACCTCAGTGCACAACCATACATGGAAATAAATCATATTTGCTATGACACAAAGAAACATGAAAATGGAGAAGGTAATGCAGAGTAAGAATGTGTGCAAGAGAGCAAGTGGAGCATACTGAGACTCAAGGTCCTTCTGTGAGAAGCATATGGCAATCAGCTGTTTCAGAATTCAGAATGATTGTAGCCAACATTTTTCAGTTGTTATAGCAACTGTAAATTGAAATGGTGTACAATGGCATTGTCTTGGCTACTCACTTGTTTTCGTAGCGCAGGGTGTTCTGCAGGTGCCATGCTGACTGTTTCACTCTAGAGTACTAGAGCTTTAGAGATTTGTTGTGTCTCACAGGAAGAAGATCTACAGGAAATGGAGGATTCTGCTAAGAAAATGGAAGCTCAGTTTGGTCAGTTCTTTGATCAAGTGATTGTGAATGACAACTTACAAGAAGCATCCGCTCAGCTGTTGTCTGCAGTCCATCATGCACAAGACGAGCCCCAGTGGGTCCCTGCAATATGGATATGCTCAGATACTGAGACATAATTCAGAGTGGCAGGCAGCTCCGTGAAGATTACAGATTGTTTTACTTCAAGAATAATCCTCATGTCAGGATTGTGAGAATTTGTCTTCGTATGCAAGGGATTTGGAAGAGGATTAGGAAAGAAGCCGCTGTAGGAGATATTATCATACTGTGTTCTGTGTGACTGTACAGCTTTTATGCTACAATTGCACCTTTTTTTGGTACAAAAAGGAAACACTGTGAGCAATCCACTACAAGAATAAATAAAGATCTATTTTGCTGCATGTATAATTTACTCATGGGTGTCCAACCTTTTGGCTTGCTTGGGCCACACTGAGTGAAGAGGAATTGTCTTCAGCCACATATACAGAGGCTGCTCTGAAAGTAATTACTCCTATTTTAATTTCACGGAAACTACAGCAGATAAAAAGAGCACAACATTATTTAATAGTGTTTTGTAGCTGAGAATCTGCTCTCTTTTTCACTGTGATCACCACCATTAGTTATGCATTTTGTCAGCGACGAACAAGAGCTTACATGTCATGCTCATCAAAACCTGCACCAGCAAAGGTGGCCCACTGTGTTTGCATCCTGTTTGGTCTCCATTAATGTTCAGAAAGTGTCAATGAATGGTGGCATTTTTTCCACATGGAGGAATTCAGTGACAGAATTTTGTCTCAGATGCCAATTTGTCGGACTGTCCCTCTGCTGCCATTTGTCACATGGCAACAAAATGGAATGGAATATTAGTGGGAAGGTTCACCTCCACTCCATATCACCAACATTTGTTTCTGACATTGCAGGCCAACATAATAAAATAAAGGGTGTTACTTTCAGAGCAGCCTTCATAAAATATGCAATACAGCTACTATGTAAAGAGCAACAAAAACATCAAACTAGAGGGATATGTGACCTTATTTTTATGAAACTTAACACGCTGGCCTGGTTTGATGGCAGTGGTTACAATTCTCAGGGAGGTCTCAGTGTTTTGGTTTTAGGTGAAGTTTTACTTGTACTTCATCCTTGACAACCGTTCACAAATGTGTGTACTGCCAAAAAGGGATGATGTGAATAAGGTGTGATTGTGAAGTGAGATTTTTTTCTCTTGCAAGAGAGGGCTTATAAAAGTCTGGTAAAGAGATATGACCAAACTTTGAAGTGAATGCCTGATTGCAACTTTTGAAAATTCACAGGTTATTCATTTGTGTCGACTGCATTCATAAATATAAAAAAAAATTTTTTTTTTTGCAATCTATTCTCAAATTCCTGTATCAGAGTGGACAGTATGGCTGCATGGTTTTTTGTTGTTCATCAATCTGTGTACAGCTAATGTATCAAAATGTACACAGTTATTTGTCATAACTTGAGTTACCACTGCCCTGCACCCTCTTTCCCAGACAGTGCTGATCACACACTGACATGTAGTGGTTGTGAGCAATGAGTGTACACCTGAGGCCACTCGGTGGGGCAGAGCTGCTGCCATGATCTAGCAGGGCTTGGCTTGTCCTCCATCAACTCAAGTGAATGAAAACTGACGAAACATGGATTTATTAACGAGGAAAATCAAATCCAAAGCCCCTTGTCCTGTTGCTTTGAGGCAAGGCAGCATGTTCTCTTCATAGAGAGTACAGTGATTACAGCTGACAAGTTCCTCACTCTCTTCATCTCGCATTACAGGTGCATTGGATGCTGAGGAAACAGCTCATTCTGTCAGCCCAACTTCCCCGGAGAAAATGAACTGGTGAAGGCTGTGCTGCCTACAAGAGGTGATTCCTGTACTAAGGCTGCTCCTGTAGCTAGCGCTTCTTGTGAAGTCAGAGCCGGTGTCCTGGGTGAGAAACGCGCTGGAAAGCAGAGCCCACCATGGCCCTGGAACGGGGTGAGTAGGAGCAGTGGGAGAGGGACCGGTGCACGGGCTGGTACTGTGCCCCTCACAGCAGTGGGACATAAATTGAAAGGCAGCTGGCAGAAAAGCACAGCATCGGGTGTTCGTTCCCTTTGCGGTTTAATTTTCTTCCCGTTTAGAGCTTATCGCTTCATTTGCGAATAGTGTCAGTGATAACTAGACGAAGGAAGCCTGAATCCCAGTTTGGAAAAGGCCTGACTTCCGCCCCCCCCCCCCCCCCCCAGCCCACGGGCCTGAGAATCTGTGCGGGCAGCTCCGCTCTGCGGCCGGCCGTGCAGCCGAGGATCGCGCCCGTAGCGGCGGGGCGGGGCGGAAGCGAGCGGCGGCTCCTCCCTGCGGGGCCCGGGACGGCGGCGGCGGGCGCGGCATGGCGGAGCCGCGGGCGGGCCCCGAGCGGGTGAGGGCGCGGCGGGCCTCCCCAGAAAAGGGCGGTGGGGGGCCGGGCCTTCAGCCTTCTCCGGCCTCGGCCGCGGTGCGGGCGTTGGCGGCGGTTCGGTGCGGCCGGGGAGGGCCTGCCCTGGCGGAGGGAGCGGGGCCGGGGCTGAGCCCACGTTGCGTTCGCGTTGCCGTCCCCGTGCGTTCGCAGGATAACGAGTATGATTAGTGCGAAGCCAGTAAAGAGTATGTGTTAGAGTTTGAAGAACCGACCCCCGCTGGGGCAGCTCGGTCACCGCACTGGCAGGGCAAACGCGTTGCTGGTACCGCGTTACCGGAGCCGCACCTCTCGCTCTGCTTCCCTGAACAGACGCCCGGCCGCGGGTGTATTTCCTCCTCGGAGAGTTCCTAGGCGCGTTCCCGCGGCCCTGCGGCTGCTCACGGAACGGTAATGGTGCCGGGAGTGCGCGGTGTGCGGGGCTGGTGGCTCCGAACGGCCCCTTCTGCAGCCGGCACTGCTCTCTGGGTCTGCGGCGTGCTCCTACGGGCCCTGGGGAGCTACAACTAAGGGCTGCGGATCTTGGACCTGTCCTAAATAGTTAACGATAGATTCCTCCCCAACGTAGGAATCGATGAAAGCAACGAGCCCTGAGCTAAACTTAGGTTGATTTTTTTTTCTCCCTTCCTCACTCAGGGTGTTTCATCTGTCAGGTGAAAATCCCCGAGTAGTGCTCACCTGAACTTCTAACGGCGCATGGAGCGATGCGGTTTTGGGGCGGGTGCCATTTAGGACGAGCTTTGCTGCCAGAGCAAACTACCATTGATTCCAGCAGGAGTAGCACTGGGCCCTGGCCCAGGGGCAGGGAGGTTCATAGCCAGCTAATCCGGGCTACCAGAAGCTTATTTTTAGTTCAGAATTAGCAGGGGTTCAGCATGAGCGACGTCAGGAGTGGAGAACTGTTCACAGTGCCTCTTCCAGGGAACTGCTTCCAATGATATGGGGAAAAAACAAGTGGTGAGTTGGGGACCCTTGAGCCTTACTGGTCAAGCAGCCTTTTGTGTTGCTGGTATCGACTGAATTCTTGGAACATGGGAAATGTTTCATGCTGTACTTCTTAAATATAATTATGTAATGCAGAATCAGCAAGTGAATTGCTCACCTGTATCTGGAGGGGAATCATCCAGTGCAAGAATTGCATTTCAGATTGGTAATGGGAGATAACTTGTTTCTTACTATTTATGTATTTGGTTATGTATGAGATGTTTAGAATCTGGTTTCAGAAGCATAGGTGGCAAAACATAGTGTGAGTTCTTACTGCCTGTGGAAGCAGCTGTCCTCTGTGGAGTGATTTAACAGACCTCTGGATGGTTTTGCACTGGGAGAAACTGACTTCTGTCTCTCTGTTATGTTTCAGTGCCCCCCACGTGCCCTCCCTCCAGTGCCAAGGTAAGATCAGTTCATTCTACAGGATTGATTGTGTTTTTACCGCTGTGTTTTTAAAAGAAATGAAATGAAGAAAAATCAGTTTGATAAGTACCTGCATAGTTACAGTAGCTTTTAAAACATTGCTTTTCTTGCTACTTTGTTATTCTAGAATGCCTTACAAAATGTATAAAGCACATAATGTTTTTAGAGGCTGAGAAAACTTACCTCATTTTTAATATTCAGGTAGATTAAACCTTTTAAAGTCTTGGACAAAGAGCAGCATGAGTTCTATTAGCATTTATTTCAGTCTTGCTGATGTTTCTCTTTTCACTGTCTTCTCCCTTAACTCTTTGTTGCTGTTGTTGTTTTTTCCACATTCTTTGATATATTTAAATTGCAAATCCTTCAGGACAGGGATTTTTCAAATCAAGCTAGATATTATCAAATGGAGACATAGGTGTTTATCAGTTTGATGCTATATTACATTTGGGCTTTTTTTCCCCCAGCATTTTAATGATCAATGTGGAAGGAAAAGCAACTCTACAGATTTTTATGGCGTATGGATATGTCAGAATTCCTTCAAAGTACCTTAGAGAAAATGGGGTGTTCGTGATTGGCAACACATAAAGATAGTGTGTTTTTAGTAAGGTATATATTCTAATGTTTCGTAACTTCTGTTAGTTTGTTATATGTCAGGCAAGTTTTAATTAGCCAGGTGATTATAGCTTTTAATCTGATCTACAGCTGGCCAATCAAGAAACTGCATAGTCACTAGCAAAGTGTTGAGTCTGGTTGATTGCTTTGTACACTTAACCCTTTTGTGTACAGTTGCCAATAAAAAGACATGGGAATGAAATAAGGGAATTTATCAAATAAAAAAGTAGAGAGAATGTCACTGTTGTGAGTTGATTAAAAACTAACTCTCTTCTTACCTTTGTTCCTTTTGTGCTGCTCTTCAACGCCTTTTCTCATTAAATGTGAAGTGGAAACCAGGGTGAGTTATTCTGTCATCAAAGAGAATCGTAAACATGGATAGTTCCTTTTGGTGTCGCTTCATTTTCTCTTGAAGGATTGGTCCTTACAGTTTTCCTAAATGTAGGCTGATAATTGTTTAAATTGCATGGGTATTAGGGCTGCTATTGTGAGAACTATCTGGTATTTTCCTCTGTTCTTTTTACCAATTGGTAGTTCCATAATAAATCAGGGTAACTGGAATGTTGTCACTATGATCTAAAGAAGCAGTTTATTCTTCAGAGCATCATTTGGTTTTTTGCTTAACATGCATTAGCCTTTGTTGCACACGAGACAGGTTTGTTGTCTTGCTTTCCTGTTTTCAACTGCACTTTTCCTGCTTGTGCAAATCAGTTAATTGTCACCTTATCTTTAAAAGCTGAAGGATGTCTTCGTTTGTAAAAAGGACTCTATTTCTTAATTTGGAACAGTATGGTTGTTAAAAAAGAAAAATGAAGATTTTTCCATGCTGTGCACATTGACTTATGTTTCTGTTCTGCAGATGACATTCCACTCAGTCGTCCCAAAAAAAGAAAGCCCAAAGGAAAGACTCCTTTAGGTAAGGTCCCACCTGTGTTTGTAATCCTGAGTGATACCTACACTGTAGCCAAGCTCCTGACAAATACGTTTTTTTCAGTCTTGTACTCTGTTTTGGAATAATATTCTTCTCAGTTTCTTTATTAAAATTGATTTTGTGTCAAGTGCTTTCCCCAGCACACACCACCACCAGAATACAGTCTGTGTGTTTAGAGCAAGTCTGTAGTACTACCTTAAAGTAACTTCTGTCTTCTCTTTTTCCCTGGATCCATTCCCAGTACTGGTAATAGAGCAAATTTTAATATTGAACTGCAAAAAATGCTTTAATGTTTATTCCTGCTATTTTTTTCCTTTCTCAATTTTGTTAATACTTAATTAAATAGTCACTTCCATCTGTAAGCTGCTTGCAATGTTGAGTGTGTTAAGTGCTTGAATTTTTGAATGAACTAAGATACAACTAGTTTAACAAATTGGCTCAACTTAAATCCTCGGCCCAATAAATCACAAGTTAACTGTTCCACTGTCACCTGAGAGTTAAGAGCATGAAGCATGGCTGACACCAGAGCCTTGCATTTTTACAAGAAGTGCATCTGCTGAATAAACATATCCTTTTAAGCAAAATTACAAGTCTGATCTGCTTTGATAAAGAATTGATGTTGATAGAATCTACTGGATTTCTGTAAATCAGCTGATTTGGGACTGATGGTTTGATGAGTAAATCTCCTTTATTTGATTAAAAGAGTGCAAAATATCAGGCTTTAAAAGCACTCTAAAAAGATTTGTCCTCCTGTATGAAAAGATGCCAATTGATGCTAGAATGTTTGATGAGATTTCATGTTTACCTGCCATGAAAAGCTGGTTCCTCCAAGGCTTAGCCCTTTTTCTCTCAGATTGGAGTAAGCTTTCTTCAGAATTGTTTTTTTTTCTGCTCCTCCTGGATTCTTGTGCTGTTTGTTCAGCAATTAATTTAAATTTCCCTTTGTTATTACACCGTTTTGCCTTAACACATTTATCTGTCAGTCTGAATCAACTTGTTACTGTTAATTTTTCTGTCCATTGCATTATTGTCTCTGCACATAGAAAGGAAAAATACAGAGCTATTGTTCCTTGCTGTAGTAGATTCCATTCTGTCAGTCCTCTGTCGTACACCCGAATGGGAATCCTGCTACTTCCTGCATACCTACATTTCCTCCCAGATGTGAAACTGTTATGATGAAACAGAGACCGTATGTTTTCATCTTGTGTATTCTTATTACCGTATTTGCTTCCCATCTCTTATGTATTCTAGCCAGTATGTTTTCACCTCAGCTGGGCAAATACAGATATTCTACACTGTGTAACAGGTAGCAGCATTTTCTTGCCTTTTTCTCAGCAGCTTTGATTGAAGTTGCTGGAGGTTTTTCTCTGGTTTTTAGATGACATTGTCCAAGCGACTGTTCGTCGGCAGTCTGAAAGCAGTGAGCCCCTAACTCCTGAACCTCAGGATGTCCCTCCTCAGCGGAAACGCAAGAAGAAGAAAGTACCTCCTGGTACGTGAATAACAGTAGGCTGCAAAGAAGGCTGAATAAAACCTGGTGACAAAAATATGACTGGCCAGTTTGTGTTTTGGTTTAAAGTGTTTCAAATCGAGTGCCCTTTTAATAAGTGGAATTAATCTCTGGGTGAATGATAGCTTAGAGTTGCCATTTCTGCCATGTTTATGTAGTAACTATTTCTGTATTTAAGTGAACGTGTCTCTAATCCCATAAAAGCTATACAATGTTCATGTGGCTTGTTTTTTCAAATCTCCAGATTCTGAGACCTCCTTTACCCAGCAGAACATTGCATCCTTATTTCAGAATGGAAATGGCGTGGATGTTCCTGAAGCTGAAGAACCAGTGGTCCGCAAACAGAGAAAAAGAACCAAGTGAGATGAATAGCTCATAATTTGGAATATCTGTGGCAGTAAAAGTAACCGAATAACATTTTAGTGTCACTTTACAAAGACACAGGATCTTGGAAGTTCACAATACCATTTACGTTGCTTAGCAAATTGTATGCACGCAGTCCTGTCCAGGGCTAAGATCTCACTTTCTTCACATGTTTGTTTTGTGTGTATCTGGATGCATTTCAGTTCAGAGTATGGTAGCATGAGCCTACTGTTTCAGTACATAAAAAATTAAAACGCATAACTGCTTTCTTTCATTTTTCCTGTATTTTTCTTAACTTTCTGAGAAACAGCTGCTTTCTTATCCGCCTTTTCTCCAAGAGCTATGCCTTTACACCACTCTAGTTGCCTTTCCAACCACAAGCATCCATTCTCTTGGCCTTGTATTTAATTAGTACGTATTTTTTCTGGTTGTTAATCTCTTGCTCTGTACTTTTCCCAAATTATTGTTTTGACATAAGAAGGTATCTAAATTGAAAGAAAGGCCCCCAAATCAAGGCTTAGTGTTAGTGCTTTAGTGAGAATAATAGCTTTAAGTTTATGTGGGGGTAATATACTGGTCAGTAGCTTAATCTGTTTGTATCAGTGAGGTTAGGAATGGTAAGTGTTCATTGAAATCTTCAAGTTTTAAATTTTTCTTCTTCTTCTGCCCCATTGTATGACTTGTGATAATAGGAAGGCTCGGCCGGCAGAAACACACTGTTCCAATGAGCTGGAGGTAGAGGAGGATGACATCATTGAAGATGAACACAGAAGGAGCCCAGATCAGCAGCCTGTGTTTGCTGCTCCCAGTGGAATTAGCCAGCCTGTTAGCAAAGTGTTTGTAGAAAAAAATCGTAAGTGCATTGTGTGATTTTTTTTTTTAACTTAAGTTCTTGCATGAACACATAATTGTATTTAAAATCCAAATATTTTGCTATTGGGCAGAATTTTAAAAGGGAGTTTGCCAGCAAAAAAAAATACTTTGGAAGAAATGTATGTTGTAATCTTTCAGCAGTGAATGCTAGTGTTGCAGTGTTACTGATTTGTTGGATTTTTTAGTTCTGTGGTTCTGTGGGTGAAAAAAACCTGGTAGTACAGAACTGAGCTCACTTGACCTAATACTGTCACAACAGGTTGAGAAGTATTTACTATATTGCAAAAAATCATGCATGTGGAAGGTTATTTTTTTGTTGTTGGTGGTTTTTTTTAGTACAGAACACTGAGTACTTACCCAGTTGTGCTGTACATTCATAAATCCTGGTCTGTCAGGGTACACCACGCTGACAGAGGCATCATGATACGAATGGAAGCTGACAGGGAAGAAAAGGGGGCACAAGAGAGAAGAAAATTGATGGAAATTTTGATAGGAAGTTCAAGCATTAATGTAAAAATATTGAGTGAAGTTAATGGCTCTCTCTGAAATAAATTTTCTCATCCTTTTAGGGCGCTTTCAAGCAGCTGATCGTGCAGAATTGATTAAAACCACTGAAAATATCAACGTGCTTTTGGATGTGAAGTCGTCTTGGACCACCAGAGATGTTGCCCTCTCAGTGCACCGAAGTTTCAGGTGATGGATTAATGTTTTGATGTAAAGAAACTGAAATCATTGTGTGGATTTTTATTTTTTTTTCTTTCTTATCTGTAAGACTTTAGCATCTCTTCTCTATCGCTGGATGTATCTTTACTTCATGTGGATACTTATAGGTGGTGGTTGGGTATGCAGGTGGCATAAGTGCTCCAGCTTTTTTCTGTTGACGGTAATATCTATTTCTACTCAAGACATCCATTTGAAATGCAACCTCTAAAAAGAACAAAAAGCTGAGGCTAATTAAGGAAGCTGTATTGTTAAGATTCAGAAGAAAGATGAATAGAAAGAGATATGTATGATAACAGAAATACTAGGGACCTACAGGAAAAAAAAAACAAAACAAAAAGAGATTTACCTGTCAGCTGTGATATGAGCAGAGTTAAAATGTCTGAACTCTTTCCAGTAAAAAAGGAGGAGTAAAGTTGGACTGGGCATAAATTGCAGAAAATAAATACACAGAAGTAAAAAATGATATATATTTTTTTCCATCTGTGGTTGTATGATGTTTCAGAATGGGAAGATGACAACTTTTTCATGTCTCTGTATTTTACCTGGAAACCCATGCTTGATCCTAGCTTTTTGTTAGCAAGGAAGGCAATTACAGATTGAAGAAATTCTGAAAAGACTGACTTTCTCTCAGGGGTGGATTAAAGAGTCTTGCATAGATGAAAGGGGCAGTGGTCTTGGGGAGCTACAGATAAAATGGGGAAACAGGCAGAGTGAAAGTATTTGAATCCAGTAGCATTAGTAAAGGGATGTAGCAACAGGATCAGACAGAACGCCTGCAATTTCCTGGTTGTGTGCTCACGCTCTTGTGCAGTCTGTCAGGGGAGGAAGCAGAAGTCTTACTGCTTAGGATTTTTGAAACTAGATCAGAATAAAGCACTTGAAAACAATCTATCACAGCAGCAGGATTGAAGGGGTGAATTTGTAGGCCTTTTCATCTGTAGTTTAATGCCTAATTAAAGGCATTAAACTTCTCAAATGTTCTGTTATTCTTTCAGGGTAATCGGACTCTTTACCCATGGCTTTCTTGCTGGCTATGCTGTATGGAACATCGTTGTTATCTACATTTTGGCAGGAAATCAGCTTTCCACGGTTTCTAACCTGCTCCAGCAGTATAAGATGCTAGCCTACCCTGCTCAAAGTTTGTTCTACTTGTTGCTGTCTATCAGCACGGTCTCAGCCTTTGATAGGTAAATTGTTGATGATTTAATGATACTCTTGGTGAATGATTTTGCACGTAGCTGATGTATAGTTAAAAGGTGTACTTGTATATTCAGGCTTTTGTTACTCGTTTGTGTCCATTACCTGCTGCCTTGTTTCAGCGTACGAGTGCTGTTTGTGTAATCAAGAAGTAAACCAAATGGGAGAGCTGTGGTGGAGGGGAGTAGAGAACAGCTGTTTCTGTTAGGTTACTTTTCATGTGAATTCCTTATTCAGTTAAGTTTGCAACGTAACTATATAAACAGTTTACCTGGCTCACCTGCTGCTTCTGCATTATGTCTCAAAGAGTGGTTTCACTGAAGTTTATTTTAATGATGCGTTGTTTCCTTGGCAGCATGGTAAGACAGGGGAGGAGTCTATTTCGTGGAAGGAATTGTGTCTTTTTTTCAATAAGTGGTGTCAGGAAGGAATCTTGAGTTTATTCTTAATTATTCCTGTGCCGATGTGAGCTTTGTAAGTAGTTTTATTAACATTAATTCTGTTGGTGGTGCAGACACTGAAATGAATGGGAAGGACTGGGGGGAGCAGATCGCTCCCCACTCTCCCTGACTGCAGTGTGAAAGCTACAAAATTTATGGAACATCATCCTTAATTTCAAACTTTCTGGAGCTTGGCATAGTGAGGATCGTTGCTTGTGTGTGCAGCATAGTGGCTTATTAAGGCACTATAACACAGACAGGAAAAGGTATCTTGAAAAAAGCAAAAGCAACAGAACACTGCTAGAAGAACAATATTATTATCTTATTGAGCTGTGTTAATGACTCCTGTTTTTCTAATCAGGATTGATTTGGCAAAAGCATCAGTTGCACTGAGGGGTTTTCTTACCCTAGACCCAGCGGCATTGGCTTCATTCTGTAAGTATCCTGAAGTGAATAGGATGAGGAAAAATAGATGATTTTTCAAAAAATAAAGTAAATGGAAAAAATCCTGCGTTCTGTTTTCAGTGGATTTTTCTTCCACGGTTATTGTCTACCTTAAAATAAGTGACTTGGGGAGCAGTTGAAAATAGCATTCAAGGATCACGGATGCTTCGCGCATTTTTAAAGTATTTGCAGTAGTAGCATTAATGACACTACTGCTGGGATGGTTGTTTCCCCTCCTATGAATGCAGAGCACAAAAGATGAGAAAGCATTTTCTACTTGCTTTATACCTGACACTAATTTCATTTCTTCCAGTGTACTTCACTGCTCTTATCTTATCCTTAAGTCAGCAGATGACATGTGACAGAATTAACCTCTACACACCACCTTCAGAAAATGGCAGCATCTGGTAGGAAACCTAAGAAAGGTCTTCCGTAAATTGTAACGTCACTCACTTATGAACCTTAGTCAAACTGTTGGATTCAAAAGGTTATGTAAGATGCATAAGAAAGTATTAACGAAGAATTCCATTACTGCATTTGCCTTTGTCTGAGTGTGCCTTGAACCTCTGAAACCTTCACTCAGAAATGAGAAGTCATATTTGGTCTCAGTCATGTTGGTCACGAATGCATCGTAACTTGAACATCTTGTTAGAACGATGCTGAGAGATCATGAAGGGTGACAGAAACTTTAAGTATCTCTTTTGCTGCGTGCAGTTAGCTATTTTTTTCCTTTTTTAGAGCTTTTATAAGTGTTTATTGAAAAATCTGGATTCTAGTAACAAGACCTCAACCTGCTGCTATTAATGACAGTATAAAACGTATCAGCCAACTTAAATCCTAACCTTTTACCTAAACCCCCATCTTATCTGGCCTCTGTCTACAAGTTCTTGCACTGGTTTCCAGGCAGATTTCAATGACTTGCTGCTCATTTGCCTGCTGCCCTACAAAGAAGTGATGAAAATAAGATCTGCTGATGACTTCATATGATATCTTTCCTCATAGTGAAGTTTGACAGTGCGTTTTGGTTTTGTTTTCTATTTCTTAGCCAGGGAAAGGAATGCACTGCTGAAATCTGCAAGTGAATGTTCTCTGTGAGATAAGTTGCTGTCTTTGGTGTACAATCTCTTTACCAGATCTTCGTAAAGCCAGACCATTAGGATGATAGTGATATTATTACATCTGACTTAGCAAGCTTTTTATTTGTATTTTATGATATACTGCTGATGTTATTATTGTAATATGTGCATACTGGTGTGTAACCTGACTAATTGGTTGATGTGCTTTTGCCAGGACTGCAGGTATGGAGGAAGAAATTCTTCAGCCATGGATTGTGGTGAATCTGGTAGTATCTATTCTAGTTGGAGCAAGTTGGATCTTCTTGTCTTACCGACCAGAGCTAGACCACAGTGAAGGTAGGAAATGTTCATTGGCAAAAACTTATTTGTTCAGACTTTTACCTACTATGGTCTGCACTGGGTGCTTGAGTTTAGTACTGAGAAATGTTATGACTGAGGAACAGATTTGTGTTTGGGAGACCAAAGAAGGTTGGTTAAATATGCTTCTTTGAATTAATCTAGTATGTTAATTTACAGCTTTCTATATTTCAGCTGCTGCCAGTTATCCTAATTGATTCTAGTAACTCAATTAGTTTAAAAAACAAACAAACAAACAACTGGTTGGCAGCTTTTACAATTATTGAAAGTAAAACTTACAGTAGATGTCTAAATTGTAATTAGAAGTCATTTTTGAAGTAATAAAAGGCTTATTCAAGGAAGACAGAGGTGTGATCTAGCTCAGGTTTTGATGAGATTATAGATATTTACAGATGTCAACTAGAATTAGGTAACGTGCTTCAGCAATTTCAATACAAAAATTCTGTTAGGATTTATCCCAAGTAGTAAGGAAGTATTAATAGAATGGCAAAACAAAAAGAAGTGTGGGATTTCAAAACTTGAGTGGATAAAATTACAGTGCTGCACGTTCAGATTGTGTAATTTTGCCACATTGACGAATTGTTGGCAAACAGTAAATGATCAGGTCTCTAAATGGAAATCTTCAGTCTTGATTCTGACACTTTCTAAACTGGGACAATTTATCAGTCTACTTTCAGATACACATTTAAATGTCCAGGCTGAAACCTACTTCCTATGATCAGTTGCTAATGTCAGTACTAGTTGTGTTAATGTGGGAGGACAAATGCAGTTTTCTAAAGACAGTGGTGGGTCTTCCCATTACTGAATTGCTGATACGAGGGCTGCAAAGAAAAGCAGGAGGATTGGGGAAATTCCATAGAACTTTTCTGGAATAATGTAATAATATTCAGGTGAAACTTTCTTCAGTAAAAGCAGTATTGTTTTCTCTTTTTTTCAGAACTGATGTTTCATACTGAAATTGAGGAATTTCCTCAGGGAGTCATCATACCCAGAGTCCAGCCATAGAGTGGAACATGCACCTTGTAGCTATAACTGATGGCTCAAAGCTTTCTGTATTTTAACCATATATTATAACTTTCATAAAGAAAAAAAAAAAAAAAGTATTTTTATATTGTATATATTTCATGGATCTTTTATGTATGCTAATTTTTAATTATTCAAATGTGACTGAAATCTTTTATATATCTTCTTTTTATTTTGTAATCTATGTTATCTTTAATACGTAAAGTCAAGGTACTTCTGTAAACATTGCTACCTAGACAGGCAGAGGAAATGGGTGAATTCTGAAGATCTGCTATTCAGTGCTTTTTTGACAGCAGTGCTATTGTCATCATCAATCTGTGTTTCGTTACTGACGCTGCTAGCAGTTGAGCTATATCTTTTTTCTAAGATATTCCATAGAGATGAGAGATGAAAACAAATCTTAGGAAGAAAGCAGTTTAAGTGAATAAATGCAGATGTCTTGCAGGATAAAACTATCTCCTTAGCAGACGTAGGCGAGAGCTAGTCTGAAATAGATTTCTCATGCAAGTATCACACAAGACTAGATTTAAATTTTATTTAATATGTATTGAGTTTTGCATTATTTAATGTATCTGAGGGTGGTTTTAAAAGGTGTGCAGTGTCAAAATTCCCTGGAGGCTACTGTGTTTTATAAAAGTAGTGGTGAGTTTAGCTAGATGAATGAGTGGAAGGGAGATGTGAAAGAGCCAGTAAGTTTCTACACTGTTGCCTAAGTTGCTTTAAAACAAGAATGGGAACGTGAATAACTAGGACAGCTTCTGCTCTGTCAAGAACTTGAGTTCTAGTGTGCTTATTTAGCAAATTTAAGTAATTATGTAATTCCAGTGAGGGGAGAAAAAAGAAAGTTCTACTGGAATTGAAACATCTTCTGTAACTGCTGGCTCTATTTTAGGGCATTCACTTGTTTGTGGGAAGGAACTGCTTAACCTTTTTGTCAATTGTTATGAGGTATATGTATTCTTGTAATACCGTGGAGCTCGATTACAGCCGGTGCTGCATTGTACATTATAACAAAGAGATTCAGGATGCTGCTCCCCATCAGTGTTACTTTGGAGGTCCTTGTGATTTGCTATAGGAGATGAGAGATGAGGCCACTACTTAGTGTTCCCACATAGGTTTCTACACAGTAATTTCCTTGCAAAGTGGGAAATGCACATCACAGATTCTTCAAGCATCGTGTGTTTGGTTTACAGAATTGCTGAGCTTCTGAAGATGAGATTAGTAATGGATTCTATTTGCTATTTCATGCTTCTGTTATCTTGGCATATATATAAAAAGTATAACTTCTCTCATAAGGTATGGAGCTCTGACACAACAGTGTGAAGGCATCCAATCAGTATAGAGAAACATGAGGAACGTCACTGCTTGATTTCATTTCTGAAATTATTCCTAGGAATTGGCCTTCTAAGTATCCCACAAACAAAGCAATGCTAGCCAGGAGCCAGATTTTGCTCTCGTTGTGAGATGGTTGAGCAGTGATTTTTTGACTTAATTAATGGCATCAGTAGTTCGAGCCAGACTTGCCTTCCTAGTTTATACTTTTTTTGGAGGACCTGAGTATAACCTAGATGAATGAAAGAGGTTTGAGGTTTGCCATTTAAAATCACGGTTAGATAAACAATTTCATGGCTTATTACCTCTTTTACAAGGTAGTTTTCATTCTGTTGAGCCTCACAGTGGAATTTAGCTGCTTTTTATGTGTGTGTGCATTTAGTTACTTGGAAAACTTTAGAACATCTTGAAGTTTACAGAATAGATGTTTAATTGCAGAACATGCAGTATATGTAGAAGCCTTAATTGAAATGCCTTTGTGCATTTCCATTACCATTGTTTTCGATGCGGTATTTTGTGTTGAAGAAAAAAATGCAGAGAAGTTGGTGCCAATTTTTTGTTTTTAAGTATCTGAAACGAGTGAGGAAGTGGTCAGAATGAGTATCAGCTTGTACTATTTTGTACTGTCTCCAAAAGCTTACTTTGTTTAAAATAAATCAGGCTAAGTTGTTTCTTTCTCAACGCTAACGTTCTGTTGCTGTATACAAGCTGATTCTGTGATGAAGTGCTGCTCGGCGTCTTTGCAGCAAAGCTCCGTGGGATGCTCGACGGGACGAAACGCGGAGCCGCGGCCCGCCGCCAACACGCCTTCCCGCCAGCAGGGGGCGCCCTGCGCGCGCTTAACGGCCGGTGCAACTGCACGGCCGCCATTTTGGGCTCTGCCTAAAGGAGGCGGTGCGGCCACTTCAGTACCGCCTTTCCTTCCTTCTCCGGGCAATCGGCGCTGGAGCATCACGAAGGGGCCGAGCCAAAGAAACGTGTAGGCTTCTGAGGTACGGGCGGTGCTACGGAAGGGGAGGAGCCGGGGAGACGAGCGGGTTGGGCCCGGGGGGGTTTGGCTTAGAGCGTGTCTGCAAGTGGTTGCAGAAAATGGAGGGAGTTGTGGTGGTTTAGTGGCCTGAGGGACGCGCTTAAAAAAGCTTATAAAAGTTCACATTGCAAAGACTTTCAGAACGAAGTTGATGCAAGGAATGTGCTCATAAAATCTATCACTAGAGGCCAGAGCCATAACACTGATGGATGTGGAGGCATTGGTGCCCAGGGCAGGGCAAGATCACCACCAGCAGAAACCAGCAGTAAAGTACATTTCAGCCAGAACTGCTCATATACTCTTACAGCGAGAGTTTTGGAAACAATCTAAAGCCTCTTTTATATAATTTCCTTCAAGACAATCTTGAAATCCAGCTAAATGATGTAATAACATGAAAATCTGCATTAAGCAATGGTATGCAAAACTTTAATGAAAAGTAAGTCAAATACAATTGCAGCTAATTTGTGTAATTTGCATTTTGCAGAAATTTGTGGGGCTTTTTGATAACTAGCATGTTTAAGTAACTGATCTGCGGAGTAAGATCAGTTGCTTGCTTTTGGGAATCGTGGTGGTTTCCATAGCAACCAGTTTAAATCTAATATTTATTCCTTCATTGAATCTTGAGTTTCTGGACAGATTTAATTATTTTAATTACCGAAAGTTATTCTGCTACATATTAGTAGACCTCTTTTTCAGTGCTTTCTTTTCTAAGTCGTTAAGTCTCTGCTGCACTGTTGCACCAACTAAATTGATTTTGCAGTGTGGTTCATATTCCTGTTCTTTGGACATTAGTCTCACAGGATGTGTTGTGCAGGATCTCTGAATTATAGTATTTCTTCATCAGTCAGAGAAGACCATCATTGGGACAAGTCATTACAGCTAGCTTAGGTGTTTTAGTGGTTTATTAGACAACCTAATGTACTTTAGCAGAACTACTTGCTAGTATTAAAGACAAGATACATAAGTCACCTACTTTTGGTACCTCCCTCTTGTCAGACACATTGAGAACAGTCTTTTTTAAACATTTTTCCATTATTTCGCAGGCTAAAAACTGCTTACATCACTTTTGAGTAGAAAAAGGAGGTAGGGAAAAGAGAGATGTAAGGTAAAAGTAGGTAATTTTTTGGTAATGCTTGCTTTTGTTCATTGATATCAGTTGGAAGAAACAATCATTTCTCCATACTGGATTCTTATTGACGTACTTTATATAGAGAATCAAGTTTATTGTGACTAAATCATATTTTTATCCTATGTTCATCCATTCAGACATTCACAAGCTGCTGCATCTGTCATTAGACCAAGACAGTAGGAAACATAATAACATGGTTGTGTTAAGGATGATATATAGCAGAAGTTTTCTTTTGTGACAAGTTTTTAATTACATTACATAGTGTTAAATGCTAAATAAGAGAAAGATGGCAGCAAAAAAAAAAAAAAGAGAGAGAAAGAAAAGAAAGAAAAAGAAAAAGAAAAAACAAAACCAACAACAAAAAAAACAACCCAGACCACTTGTGATCTTCTGTTTCTACAAATGTCAAAATTGCAGAAGCAATCCATCTATTAATTTCTGTTTCATAGGGCATGAGAACATTTTGTAAATGTATGAAAATTCTTACAATGTCTCCCATTGAGCTTACGTGCGAGATTCTTTGAAAATTTTAAGTCTGACTTCAGCACTAGTTCATATGCTAATGACATGTAATTGGTTTGAGTAAGGGTTAATACATGGATGTTCTGAGAAATTAGAGCTTCATTGTGCTTGGAAGCATGTCAGTTTGGAATAGGAAGTCCGTCAACCTGCATTTATCAGTGCAGATCACTTATGTCAGGTTTTGAAAATACAAATTGTATGCAAAAACTTCTTTACAGCACTGTATCTAATTTTCAGTGTATCTTGTTTTCAGTGCCATGCAGCTGTGTCTAGTTCAACAGTATGATGGTTACACATTTGCTGTTGTATGGGAACTGCTGAGTCACGGCCTGAACCTCTGATTGATCACCTGAGGCGAGCCATGAGTCAGCCACAGGAGCACAGGTGAAGGCAATTCAGCTGTGCTGCTGGAAGAGGTGAAGCCAGGCTCCACCCCTCCTAGATCCATTTAAGAGCTGGCTACCAGTGGGGAAGGATCTCGTCTGGAGATCCACTCTGCTGGAGTTTTGTAAGCGAGCCCAGGATATGGGTATGCTTTCAATCTGTTTTCTTTTTGTTATTATAATCTGCTTTGCCTAACTCTCGTTTATTTTGTAATTATAACCTTAATATTCATTGATTATACAACCGTGTTAACTGATGCATTAACACACGTTTGTGTTAACACGTTTTGTGTTATTCCTTAGAAGAAAGTATCACAGTTAATGAGCAGAACTGCAAAAAATCTCTCTGTAAACTTAATCCAGAGACTGGAATATTTGTCTGTTTAAGTCAGTCTATGCTTTACTTCACTTTGCTATGAGTATTCAGGCTCATTGTTACAGAGAGTGTAGAGTGCTGTTATTTCAAGTGAAGCTTGCAAACCTAGCTCTTCAGCTGCCTGAGATGTTTGGCATCAGGCTTTCTTGAAACAAACAAAAGTGAACTAATGTTTGTTCAGACATCTCTAATTTAAGTATGTGCAAAATATCCGTTTTCACTTACTTGACTTGGGGCTTATGTGTACAGTTACACAAAAATACTTGTAAGTGCTACATAGTTTATTTTAAAACAATCAAGATTTGCAGTGGTTAGGGATAAAGAACCCTGTGGGGTTTATGTGAGTCTAATGTCTTCTCTGAAGAGCCCACAAGCTAATATTGGTATGATTAACAGGAGTAACTTAGTGGTTTAACAACTATTTTCTTAACTGATGACTGACATAAATCTGAAACATTTCTTGCAGTAACAAGAAGCTGTTAGTATGATTGAATTGTGGTGAAAACAGGAGTACAAGAATTATAGAAATATATGGAGGCAGACAGGGCAAGTTTATTGACAGGCTCTTAAGCTTAGTTGTACCTATTATGTTCTGAACTATGAGTTCCCTTCACAGCATAATGAGTAGTGTCAAGTATTTTGTTAATATTTCAGTGTGATTGTTTAGAATTGTTTGTGCCTTCCAGTGCATTCAAGACTTTGAAGAGAAGCTGCTGGCAAAGCAGAAGTATTTGCGGGGCTGGTTACACATAGGCCCAGCTATGTCAGATTTGAGCACTTCACAGTGGAATTTCCGTGTGTTGAAAAACTGAAATGTATCCATTCACTATTTATACATTTTCACTATTGTTAGAACCTATGTCAGCAAGTAGTAGTGGCTTGGGACACAGCTTTTTCTAAAACATGATGAGGTTGCAGTTTTAATTTTAAAAAAAATAAATAAATAATGCTGCTTTTGTTCAGCTTGAGTTGCTTGGTGTAGTGTGGGAGATGAGAAGTTAGTGATTTTTGTGGGCACAAGGGCAGTTTTTCCTCAGGGAAGAGACAACGAAACTTCCCAGATTCTTGTGAATTTGTGCTCTGAATTGAATCGTGGGAATCTGACTGCAGAAGATGTTTGCAAGCAGTAACACGGATGAAGCTTAATGTGTCTTGTAACTTATTTTGAGAAAACAATATTAGGTCCAGATAATTCTTGGTACACAGTATAAACAAAAACACAGTGACTTCAGATCATTTAACAAGTCTTCAAAATTAACCTATATGTGTTATAACTTAAGACTTCCTTTACATTATCGGAGGTTCTCAAATTGCTAGTTAAGATGATGCAAGACTAAATGAAGATGCAAAAGCACGGATCTGTATTAAGGATGCAGAAAAATGCAACAGCGTTTTCAACTAGCTTCTTTGGTCAATATACAGTATTGAAACTGCAGGAAAGACTTGCTAGCTAATTCAGGGCAAACACTGACAGCATGTCAACTGGCCAACACACCTTCTGAGAGGCAGGAAAAAGAAACGCGATTTGTATAAGAAATTCATTTCTGCAGTTTCAAATTTAGGCTTGGAAATGGAAGATTCCTCTTCACTAAGATAATTTAGGCAACAATGAAAGATAAATAGATTACTGAAGAAAAGCTGTAGACAAAAGACAAAGCCTGAATTCAGAAAGGCACTTGGACTGCAGTAATATGAGCTAAAAAGTGCAGTAAAAAGTAAAGATACAGCAGGAACCCTCATGTTAAGTATTTCGAAAGAGGAGAACAACTGAATTCTTATCTCCTACATGCAGTTTTGCTTGAGATCTGACAAAATGAGGCATACTGCACTTCCTGATGCAAACATATGATGAAGTTAATGGAATATGGCCACTTTAACTGCATTTTCAAGTGTACAGTGTCTAACCGTATTTTAACCATACAAACTAAAGCAGCAAGTAGAAATCACATTTTCCTTCTTTGAAGCACAAGAGAGGTATGATCGTTTGGTATCTACTTAGAATTCCCAGGCTGTATCATGTTGAGTTGCAGCAATACGTCCAGGTTCAGCCTCTGCTGCTGCCGAGGGCAGCGTCAAGAACTCTGATCTGTTGTTTTGAACAGGGGGCGGTAATAGGGACAGGAGCGAGCTCTGTGTTTGTTCTTTTACCTATGAAGAAGAAAAGTTAATCAAAAGAGGCCTGCAAAAAAATCTGTATGAACTTGCACCTGACTTAATTAAAAACACATAAAAGTCGTAGAGCCAACTTCTTGCATGTTACAGTATTGAAAACAGGGTAGGAGGTTTATCTTTCCTCACTCCACAGAAAGTTGAATTAATCTTTCATGAATTAGCTATGGAATTCTTCTGCTTGAAATCCTGAATACTTACCAATTTTCTCATCAGTTAGGCTGACCTAAGTTATAGCAACATTATCAAAGGGAAAATAGATTATTCTAATGATGTGTCTTTTTACAAAAGTTGTCTGAAGCAGATGAGCTGTTACAGGATGGTTTTGCTTCCAGCTGACCTAAATATTTTGTAATCCACTCCAATATTTTAGGACTTATTTTGATTATTTTTGATAAATGTGTCATTTAATAAAAATTTAGTGAACTCACCTGTTTGAAGAACGTATGAGAAAGCAAACTGCTTGCTGATGGCCTGCATTGTAAAATGAACAATATGATTATATTCTGCAAAGTTAAATTAGTCGTCTTGGGAAAGGGCCTAGTCTGACAAAGCAGTTCAAGGTGTGTCGTTATTGATGCATGTGATCAAATGTGAATCATGAGAAAGGCAGCATAGGATTCCTATGTTCTGTGTCACAATTTGTAACGAGGGCGCTACTAAAGAGATGAGATTTCTTTTAAAGATTTTATTTTTACTTTTCTGCTTAACAAGGGATTTTGGCTCATTCAGAAGAGGTGTTATACTGAAAACATATACTTAAGTTTGCCATTGTTTCTTGAACAAAGTGTGTGTTTAAAATTAATTTTACTTGTCTAACTGCAATACGAGACAGATTCATACCGTAAGAAAATCAGGCCTAAATGGAGTCAAACAAAACTTTAAAAGCATGATTCCTTTGTCAGATAAGACAGTTTTTAAATAACAAGACTAAAGGTAAGTGTAGGGTTTTGTGTAGTAATTCTGGTCTGAAATTCTGATTGTAACAGTATTCAACTAATTGCTGCATCCTAAGCCCTACTAGACCTGGTCTAAGACTAAAATGACACAAAATTAGTTTTCACCAGAGCGTTACCTTTTCTCAGGGTCCTGTTGCAAGCAAAGTTCTACCAAGTTGTAGAATGCAGGGGAAAATGTTTTGGAAACAGGACTTTGTAGTCTTTCGCTTGTCATTGTGCGTGTCAGACTCTCACTAATTCCAGAATCAACACCTGATTGGGAATTCTTCATTCTGGATTCCCCATGGGGGAAGGCATTTATATCCCAGGGATAGTATGTGGGACCTTTCAGCTTCTGCAGCAGCATCTAGTAGAAAGGAAGAGCGGTTCTACAAGTGTACCACCCACAGACCTATTCAGGCTATGCTGTGAGTCTATGAGAAAGGATTATTTACTCTAGCAAGAAACATGCATGTTTGAAATAACTAAAAGCGGCCACCATTTCATCAGCGAAAGCACTGCTTTATCTCAGTAATGCTTTATGTAAAAACAAAAAAAAATAATCTGTGTCCTTTGAAGTAGAAATGGAGGCTAGCATCATACCTGAGTGCGAGACATATCTTGAAATGGAACATGTCCATTGGCTAATTCACATGCTGTTATTCCCACACTGTAGATGTCAGACTTCATATTATACCCAGACAAATCCTGTGGGAGAAATAAAACTGTTCTGGAGCGCAGAAGCCGTTGATGGGTGCAAACAGAAACACAAATACCAGTGTCAAGACACAATTCTAAAATTCTGTAATCTAAATGGGATTGAGGCAATCAACAACTTGAAACAGGCTTTTTTTTTTTTTTTTTGTGATGTTGCACTGAAGACAGTGCTCTAGTTTTCAGGAAGAGAATCAGGCAGATTCAGCTGTAAGTACCACCTCACCAACAGATGTAAAACCTGTTCTTTTTAGGAGAATGAAACTTTTAAGTTGCAGTTCAACAGCTTCTATTGCACTTGTACAAGCAGATGTAAGATGGAAGTTGAGTACTTCATGTTAACTTGGAATAAGAAGAGTGAAGTGTATTTTAACTGACCTGTCTCAGTAGCTCAGGGCTCAGCCAAGGAAGTACAGATGTACTAAACTGAGGAAAGTCATACACCACCTTTGACTTTTGTCCATTGTTAACTAAACTGTAGAGGTTGTTTAAGCCAGAGAGAGAAACCAGTCCATCCCCTGAAATCAGAATGTGGCTAGCTTTAATATTCCTGTAACAAAAAGTGGTAAATTTTAGTTAGACAAATTACTCAAAACACTATTAAAGTAGAAATACGAAAATCTTTAATTTATACTGGGCAGTTTACATGCGGTTTTGTTTAACAGATTATTTTCATGAGCTGTCTTTTGAATACACCCTGAGAGATGGTTAGCAAGAAAAACTGACTGCCAGACATCAGAGAAGGGTCGTCTTTCCTTCCCTGCAAAGAGGGTAAAGTAAGGAAGGATTTACTTATCCTGCTGCATTATTCAAAAACAAACTAACAAAATGAAACAGCCAGTACTGTCTGCATCTGCCATAAGAAATATATGGAAAAAAGAAAGAAGATGACAGTTGAACCGAGTATGGGTTTTGTAGCAAAACTAAATTCCTAATCAAGTAGATCCTGTAATCTGATTCTTACCTATGGCACTGATGTTGTCCTACCTGTGAATGTAGCCATTCTGGTGCATGTAATTTAATCCTCTGATTGCACCAAACAGGATGTTCCCTATCAAAGCTTCACTCATTCCTTCAGGAAAGTAAGTCTTCAGCAGGTGTCTAGCAGAACCTGGAAGCAGCGGGGAAAAAATACCCTAAACCTAACAAGCCACCTTGAAGTTATTTCTATGCCTCTTTCGTGGTATGCATTTGCCAAGAGTGATATTCTCACCTTTGTATTGACTATGGTATGTCAGGAACACTTAACGAATGCAACTGAAGCATCCATCAGTCATAAGGATTGCACTCATGTCATGCTTGCAAACTGAAAGCCTGTGCCAGACCTGCACTGAAACCAACAAGTTTTCTACTCTGTAAGATCAAATGCATCTCCCACTTACTACTCAGTACTTTGTGGGGGTTAGGACTAAGTGAAATTTAATGCAGTTCAAATGTCAATCTTTTCTGGGGAGGAAGGCGATATACAGAAGACTTATCTAAACAAGTGCTTTGGGAAAGTGTGTCTATTAGGGTTTTTTTTCTTTTCCCACCTTCCCCCTCCCCCCCTTTTTTTTTTTCCTCCCTTTTTTATGAGTAGTTTCTTACAGAAAAAAACACTTCTCAACTGCATAGCCCAAATTTCATCAGTCCGTTTGCTTACTCCAAAATAGCAGTTAACAGTTCTTACCATAGGCCATGAATGGAGAAATGACCCAAAGCCAACTACCAGCTGTAAACACTGTCCAAAGTGTCATTATGTTGGGATGCTGGAAAAAGTGGGATAAAACCACCTCATTCTATGGAATTAAATGAAAATGGATGTATTAATCATAAAACAACTGTCTTACTAAAAGCATTAATTGTCAATAATCAGTAGAAAAAAAACCGTTCAGTGTATTTATTCTAAATTGCATATGATGAGCATAGCTGCAATAGATATGCAAATAGCTTGGATGTGATTGCATTTTTCTGAAGTCTAGTTTGTTCACAGTTGTAAGTTTTGCTGTTAAATGCAGAGCACAAAATGTGTTTCAAAGGAAGAGTTGTAAAGTTCCATGATGATTTCTAAACCATTTGTCAATGGTTTCTTCAGAAAGCAATCTTTCAAACTTGCGCATGCCTTTTCTATTCCTTTGAAGAGAAAATTTGAATTCAACTGCCCAGTAAAAGCACGAAGGCTGCATTGGTTTACTAAACCTTTAAATGTTCCAAAGTGGCTTCAGAAGTGCTGTTGCTTTACCTGTAAGGCTTTCAAATGCTCTTCTGAGCAGCTTTCTAGGTCTGTGATTCTTATGGCAACTTGTGTGCCTGTAGGGGTATGCCGTGCAAGGTAGATTGAAGTTAAGTTGTTGAATCTCCTTCCTGAAACCAAAAGTTGATACCTTAATATTAGAAAACGTAGTAAATCACCACATAATTTTCTTTGCAGTTAAAGAACTTTACAGTTCTGAATTGTAGTGGATAGCAGCATGATGTTTTCTTTAAGCACACCAACAACTTAAGTAGTTGGGGCAAAATATATACACAAATTAGATCTTGATTCTGCTGTTTTTAGAATTTTAGAATGTCTTTAGAACAAAGAACATTTAAACATTTGTCAGCATCAGTAATGCATCTACAGGGGAGATTCAGGCTGGACATTAGGAAGTATTACTTTTCAGAAAGGGTGGTCAGGCACTGGAATGGACTGCCCAGGGAGGTGGTGGAATCACTGACCCTGGGGGTGTTCAAGGAAAGACTGGATGTTGTGTTGAGGGACATGGTTTAGTGGGAGCTATTGGGAATAGGTGAACGGTTGGACTGGGTGATCTTTTAGGTCTTTTCCAACCTTGGTCATTCTATGATACATTAGCAGCCCTTTAAACACAAGCATTAGAACAAGCAGGAGAGACGTGGACCTGTTAGAGAGCATCCGGAGGGGGGCCACAAAAATAGTCCAAGTGATGGAACGCCTCCCCTGCAAGAGGAGCAAGAGCTGCAGTTCTGCCTAGAGAAGAGAATACTCCAGGGATACTCGATAGCAGCCTTTCAATATCTAAAGGGGAGCTACAAGAAGAAGGGGACAGACTCTTCAGCAGGTCTGCTGTGATGGAAAAGGGGAAATGGTTTCAAGCTTAAAAAGGGGAGATTTTGATTGAACATAAGAAGTTTTTTTTAAAGTAGGGGTGGTGAGGCAGTAGCACAGGTTGCCCAGAGAGGTGGTGGATGCTCCATCCTTGGAGACATTCAAGGTCAGGCTGGATGGGGCTCTGAGCAACCTGGTGTAGGTGTCCCTGATCATTGCAGTGAATATGGACTAAGTGACCTTTAAATGTCCTTTCCAAATCAAATAACTCTATGATTTTAAGCTTGCACAGTGCGATTCAGTGCTGCCATCATTAAGACAATCAAATCAACTAGCCAAATGACAAGCTATGATGTTACTTAACGTTGTATTTATTGTTTGCATGCCACAGATTTTAGGCAATGGCATCCAAATGCACAAATACCAAAAGAAAAATTTGTTAATTTGTCTTATGTTTTAAAGCAAGTGCTAACTGAAACAAGATGATCTATGTTTTTCTCAAGAATAAGGGCAGTAGAAACAAGAATAGTTTTAGTCAGCTGATCATACGTTTTCCAAACTTAATATTTATTGCGGTTAGCAATAGCTACAGAGAGAATGCATCTTCAAGAACAAGAATTATTTTAAGCTACAGTTGTGTTACCTATTTCCACCTGGAGTTCATAATGAGAGACGTTGGAAGAGCAAAATATCGTTTCATTCCCTCCTTTAGATGGTGGAATCCAGGCTAGCTCAGAATCAGCCTAATGGTGGAGAGAAACATAGTTCTCAGAATTACTATGTGCATTTATGTTTAAAATTAATGCATAAATAACATCAACTGGAATGCTAAAATAAAGTACTGAAGTCGGAATATTCAAGCTGGTGCTTGAGATTTACTACACTGAGACTTGCACAAATAAGCTACTGGGTTTTTTGTTTTGTTTTTAAACTAGTAAAAGATTATGAGTAATGCTTAGTCTATAGCAGTCATCTTCTGAAGTGGAAGCCCCAGAGTACTCCAGTTATTTTTCCTCTTAGTATTTTATTAAGTGCTCGCTAATGAGATCACTCTTTTTTTCCACATGTGCAACTTCATACTGAACTTTGTCAGTTAATGCTTTTTTGTTATTATTATTTTGTTTTTTTTCTTACCAGGGATTCATGGCTGCTGCTCTGAGATTCCTTTTCTGGTCTGATTGACTCAACTGGTGTACGTAGAATACAGGAACAGTCCTTGAGAAAAGAAACAAGTGAGTTATTAGCGGTCTGGCTGCAATTTATTAAACAAGGCAGTGGAAAAATAACAGAAGTAATCCAAATAAGCTGTAGTTCAGAAAGTTTTCAGCTACAAGTCAGACATACAAGAGGTTAAAAAACAGTATAGAGCATACGGTAGGCTGGGAACTAAACAGCCTGCATCAAAAGTTGATACAAGAAAGTTTCAATATCTCAGAACTGTGGAAAGCCCCCTAAGCAAAACATTTCACCAGGATGTTTAACTTAAGGTGTCGCTGGCTAACAAGGTTGCAACCATTGAGGGTTACCAAATACAAACTTACCAAACAAGACATGGAACCACTTTAGATGAGGTGAAAAGTCATATACACCCATTGATCCTAGAACAATTAAAGTAGCAATGTCACATTGTGCATGAACCCATGATAAAAGTCTTCTCATAAAGGACACTGAGAGATTCCTCTTAGTTATGTCACACTAGAACTTCTACAGAGCTGGGAAGGCCTGCTTTTCTATTAAGCCTTTAAGCAGCTTATGGATGTCAAACTCCATAACCAATGATATGCCATGTATATTCCAACTTAAAGATTTCCTTTTTAATTCATGACTTTAGACATCTTATTACCATTTCTGAACAAACAATTTAACTGCAAGTCAACTGCATAAGTGCAGAAAATAAAACAGAAATAGATTTGTGTATCATCAGCAGTTCATAAGAAAGAGGAAAAAACAGCTTATTTTAAAGAAGCACAGCTGAACTAGCTCACAAACCCAGCCAGAAGCTATTGCACTTCACATTTCACAACTGAAAGAAGAAATACTATTGTAGGGAACTTGAATAAGAAAAATCAAATCACTGATCACAGAATCAGCACTCAAACTCCCTCACGGATCAGAATCACTACAAGTTTTCCAGCAGACTTTTCCATCCAACACACTGAAAGCTTACACAGAGAGGACAAAGAGAGATGGTTATGTGTAATAAGCACATTGCAGCTTCTAGCATACAGTGGGACTACCTCACTTACTTTAAGCTACCTGATGATTCACAGGGAAGTCTTCTACTGTGTTGAATCAATCCTACTTGACAGCTGACATGAAGTCAATTGCTGGGGGTTGTTCCATGTTAACATGTAATTATTGCTTGAAAGTTAACTTCAAAAGGTGAACTACTACATCCAAACCCAATAATTTTATAAATCAGGGACCTAAGCTTGATTATATCCTTCATGGATATTATGAATACTCTTTAATCTAGGCAACACTGAAAAGTGAACAAGCACCAACCATCTCCTGCCAAATAACTAAGCCACCAGTAGTCCTTACTATTCTTACTCTAAACAAAATGCTTGAAGATATGTGCGATTCCTTTTCAAATATGAAAAATGGAGAGATCCTTAGTAGGTATTTGGCTCTGTTAAAAGGTAAGGGCTTGACTTACCCGCTTCACCAAAGAATTCTGTGGTAGGGTAGGAAAAAAATGCAGATACCTCAAGACCAGTTGGCCAGTTCAGTGCTACAGTATCCTTGTTATACCTGGAAAAAGAAACCTTGTTTCATTATACAAATTTAGTTACTCTGTTGCTTGAGACAGTAAGCCACAAAAGGCAAGGCAAAGATGTCTTAGTAACTCGGGTATGCTAAGGTGAAATCTTCGCAGAACTTGTACAGAGCTGTGCAGGAGTATCATCAGGCAGCAGAGGTGTCCCTAATCTGCATTTGTTCTAATAATGTTGTTTCTTAATTTTTTTTTAAATTCCACTATTTAATATGTCCATTTTCATTATGGCTTTGGGTCCCTAACCTAAGCCTTTTTTTCCTACTGCAGGTTGTGACAGCGGCTCACAGCTGAGCTGACCATCATCACAGCTCAGCTGAAGCTTAGGATGTAAGTTCCATCTATTTCCAGAAAGACGTGAGTTGCGGAGGCCTAAAGCTCAGGTACATCAATGTTACTGCTGTTCTTCTGACGCGGGGCTGCAGCTCTTACTTGTGGGTTTGAGTGGCTGAAGAGGTTGGAGTTAAGCGATCTCTGACAGATACCGACTCGAAGTCCTCGACAAAAGGAGCGGAACGCGAAAAGCTCTTCCAGCCTCCCTTAGCTCAGCTCCCTTCAGCTCACACCTTTCCCCCGCGGCGCCCAGCCGCCCCGCCTCCCTCAGCCCCGCGGCGACCGGCACAGCGCTACCCCGCACCCCGCTCCCGGCCCGCCAGGCTCCCCGACTCCAATTCCGAAGGCGCGGCCGGCTTGGAGCCTCTCGGTCCCCAGTGCGGCCGGGAAGCCCCACGGGGGTGAGGAAGCGCCGCGCTCGTACCCGCCGCCGCAAGCCCGGAACCCTGCGGAGCTGCGAGGGTTGGCGGGGCCTCGGCAACGAGCGACCCGGTGTGCCGCGAGCCGGCCCCTGGCGGCGGGTGGCCCGGCCGCACCGCGAGGCGTGCCGGGGCCTGTAGTTCCGCGACGGCCGGGCGGAAGTCATCGTCGCGCTTCCTCGGTCGCCGGCTGATTGCACGGCGGGCGGCTGCCCGTCAGCCGCGGGCGCAGGGCGGTGGCGGGGAGGCGGAGCTCTGGAAGGAGCGCGGGTAAGGCGCTGCTTGGCGCTGATTTGGGGTGTCTGTGCCGCTTATGGGCGCACTGTGAGTTCTCAGTACAAGCTGCTGAGATGCAGCGGGCGCGTGTCGAGAAGCGCGAGAGCTGACCGTGGCATGGCCTGGCCCCGGCTGCGGGCCTGTGGCTGCGGGTGGGCTGCGCTGTTTCGAGCGGGAGGCAAGCGGCAGCCCTCGTCCGTTCTTGCGGTGAGGCTGGCGGAGATCTTTTCGGGTGGTAACGTAGATATATGTGATGCTAAGCTTTATTTTCGGGCGATAGCGTCGATACGTATGATGTCAAGCTTTGTGCCTACAGTATATACGTGTCTGACTGCGGTCGAATGGCAGACTTTTGCTGCGGCGATGGCAGTGACCGCAGGCTGTGCGTGGCGTGACCTTCAGCGTGCCGCCAAGTTCGTTCCATGGTAACAGTGTCCTTACCTACACGGGCTCCGTATGGGGGGGCTGCGCCTCTGCTCACAGAAGGCAAAGTTTGGCGAAATATCAGTTGTGTCTCAGGTTTTGTATGGACTTTAGGGCAAGGTGACTCTGGGTTCCATCAGCTTCTTAATTACAGCGTTGCATTCTGAGCTTCTGAGTAAAATGCAGTAATTGCTTTTTTCCTGTTGGCCACCCAGTGAAAAAATGCTGCATGGTGCTGCACTCTTGTATTATTATTATTATTATTATTATTATTATTATTATTGAAAGTAATCTTCAACTGTAAGCTGTTGAAAACAGCTTTTGTTATGTTTCAGAGTTATTGTTGTCTGTCAGTGAGAATGTGGGTCAGATACATCAGATACTATGAAATAATTCTTAACACAATGTTACAAGACATGGTGAATTTTAGGTTAGCTTTCACATACTTTCTATTTTAAAAGTATGCATTTTATTAGCATTTATTTGGATTTTTATCTTTGCTGTTGGCTAAGAATACTATGTAGAAAGTATTGAAGTTAATCTGTTGTCTTTACACGTATTTCCAGCACTAATCTTAACATCCCTAGAGTTTGATGTGATGGACAAATGAGGAAGGAGAACAGTAGAACAAATGCATGGGAAGCTAGATCTCATTAATTCCGAAGCTTTTTTTCCCTTCCCTTCCAGTTCCCACTCACACATAATACAGCCTGACTAGATGTGCATACAGTTGGTGTGATACCTCAGATGTTGATGTGATTCCTCAGAGGTGAAAGCGTTCGGCACTCTGTACTGATAGAGTGAGGCATCAATTTGTCTGTTTGGAGGAAGGCTGGTAAGGAGGAATTGAAGGAACAAAAAGGAAATGTGCCTCCAACAATTAGTACATAATGCTTTTCAACCAGGCTAAATGAACTCAGCGCTCGTTTTTCCTCCTCTGTGTCTTGTCTACATTGCCTGTGCTTTGAATGTCTATTTTCTTGCAGTTGGTATAAATACATTTCAGGGCAGTTAAGTAGGCTGTTGACCTTATTCTTGTATTGAAGGTATGCATCCTCAAGGTTTTTTCTTTTAATTGTACTTCTAACACTAAAGGTAACTTTAAAAAAAAAAAAAATTGCATATACCTGAAACTTAAGAGCTCTTTAGTGATGGCGTCCTCTATTAGATCTGTATCAGTTCATCAAATTTGGGATGAGGATTTGAAATTATGATTTAAGAAGAAGAATGCTGGAAAATCTGAATGTTCTGTTGTTAGTTTGCATCTAATATAGTAGAGGGCTGACTGGGGTGAATATCACCCTGTTGAAAGGCAGTGTTTCAGGAAGGATGAACATGTGATTCATTGATATATTTTCCAGGAAGCTACCAAAATAGCATTTTTGCAGAGATGTTAACAAAAGAGATGACAGATCCTTTTATCTAGTTAGGTTGCTAGCAATATTCTGATGGCCGGGTCACATTGATCAGACTAGTTTGTTTTAATAAATTTAGAATTGTAGCAATTAAAATTCTGAGTAGTGATTAGAGTATATATTAAGAAATTTAAACTGCTTACTTGGCTGAATTCAACTATGCATCAACCTGAAAATGTTAGTGATCTTAGTGGAAAATATTATTTAAGTTCATCTGAAGTATAGGCAGTAAGCTTCGATTTTTAAGGTAGCCTCCAACAAACCTTTAATGAAATACAAGTGCAGCTCTTGCTTCAAGAGTGTGTGTGATGTTTTCATACTTTCTGACTAACAAATAGAGGATAGTTCTTTTTTTTTTTTTTTTTTTCCTATCTGAAGAAAGAGAATAATTAAAAAAGCCACCGGAGGTCTACCTGGAAGAATGTGTACATTTGAATGTTATGGCTGTGCTTTTAGGAAGTTTTATTGATTCCCAGTTCTTTTCCGTATGGTTATTTCATGTAGTTAGCCCCCACAGTTTCTGCCAAAGATAGAATTAATTTAAGCATGTATTTCTACATTGTGTGGTAGGGATGATATAGACAGCCTCCAAGCATGTAAACACAATTGAGTTTGTGGTCTCAAGCTGTGAAATTTAGCAATTTCATTTAGCAACAATTCATACATGCGTAAGCGTAAAACATATACGTGTGTACTGAACGGCTGGTTTTGCTGTGTATGGAGATACAGGGCTGACAAGGAGCAAAAGTGTCCAGCTTGGCTTAAGGCCAAACAAAGATCACAAGAGAACTGTTAGGGTCCATGTTGTGGCTTCCTTGATACACATCAGCTTCTGAAAGATGCTGCTACCCCAAGTTTGAAAAACATCCAGGAGATGCATATGGAATTCTGGTTTTGTTCTATTTTTTTGTGTTAGTTTCTGGAAGTTGTTACCCCCTATATTTGATGGTCTGATACAGGATTGCTTATGATGATTTGGTAGTGTTGAGTATCCTATCATTTGGATTACATTTGCCTATTTTTTTTAAATGATACCATTTCTTACATGAGAGGAAAAACAAGCATTAAGTAGGCTTCTGTGGGGATAGTAATGGCTGCACAATAATATAGGTGTGAGGTACACAGCAAGTGGTAATTGTGATTGAAAAAGTTCCCTTTCACAGATCCTTGTTTTTCAGTGTGTGTGTTCCTTTGTCTTCCATAGTCTACTATATACTGTTGGAAGATTTGGCTTCTGCTTCTGAGCAGGAGTCCCAGGAATGCTTTGGCTGCAATTCAGTGTGGTCATGTTTACTACAAGAATAGAACTGTTTCGTTAACCTTGACATGCAAAATATTTTTCTCGTTATTAGCTGACTTGATAGAATTCCAATTGTGGTAATAAAAAGCAGTGTGTTTAATACTTGATACAATTATTTTCTTAACATATTAATGTAATAATAAAGTATGGCATTCTAGGATAACTGGCTTGTTCATTTGGCTTCTTTTTGGAAAGGTAGTGTTGCTTTGGCATTGCTTTCTTGTTGTCAAAATCTCCTTTGAGTTAGTTGTGGCCTGTTGTCTCAAGTCCTATAACTACACAGAGGAACAGATCTCATTTACTCCTTCCAGATGCTGGTGAGAAGACAGTTGCTCACAACAAACAGAAAACAGAGAAAATAACAGGATGTTTCTGTTTGAGTTTGGATGTTGTCAAAATAGATGCTAGTATTTTGAAAGCGTTTTTTTTTATGCAGGAAGAAATGAGCGCCTACGTTGTTTATGTAGTCTTTCCTGCTGTAAAAGCAGCTCATCTCTGCTTTCAGATCATTGTAATTTGAAGTAACAGAGTTCTCTAGTGGTAGAAAGTCTTTAGAATTAAGTTCTGAAATAAGATGGCACAACTGCCATTTTACATTTGTCTTGTTCAGAGCGGCAGTTACAAAGAGCAGAATAACTCATTTGTATAATATGTCACGGCTATTTCAACTTTTCTAAGACTTCCATCTATCCTGCTTTTGCAAGTTAATCTTGGTTCAGATTTTTTGACTTGCTGAAGAAAAAATTAGTGTGATCTCCTGCTAGGTTCTCGAGGAAATTGTTTTTGTCTCCTTGTTTCTAAGATGGAATGATATTGAAATAGCAGTGCTTTAATGGAATGTGTGGTTGTGATAGCTGAATGCTGTGATGGAGAGTTTAGTTTGGAGAGCATGGAAATATACACACATGTGTATCTCATGTTTGTGTGTATAATGCTGTCTGATGTGTTAGCTTCTCTTCAGAGGGCATCACTTCTGCATGTAAACTGTTCTTCAATATTTGAATTCGACTTGGTTTTTCTCATATTCAATTATTACTAAGATACTTCAACATCAATGGGAAATAGGTGTATGAGGGATATGGGGGTAAAACTGATGGCAAGTACACTTTTGTAAAAACAGTGTAGTACACTAACAATAGAAATGGTATTTTGTTATAAAATCTTTTAACAATTATGTAAAATAGGAAAAAAGGAAGTAATGAAAGTACTAAATCAGTAGTTTTTGTGCAGTGTGGTTGCACTCACGTTCTGCTCTTGATAGTTTATAGCACAAGTCCTTCACATTTTTTACTGTTCAGTGGTTAATAAAGGAATGCGTGGCTGTGAAAGAGGGAACAGAGAAAGGAAGAAGTTCTAGGGCTGTCATTTTTGTGCAGTAAAATAAGAACAGAAGGTGTCTTTAATTCGTAACTAATGTCTTTGAATGTCTTTACTGTTAATAAATTGTCTAACAGGAAACTGAAACCTCTGTTCCTTTTTATAAGGGGAAAATGGGATGGCTGTTAGCTCTAACTTTAACTCTTTCTGACAAAATTCATATATGCCAACTAAATTAATCCTCTTTTATAGTGAGTTGTGTGAGGCTATGTGATGA